GTTGAGTCTAAATGCACTGTGTGTGTGCCTTCATCTACAGGGAGGGACAGAGGAAAGGCAGGCCCAGAGACCCACCAGTACTCCTGACATGCAATGGGATTCTGTAGGAGCACGGAAATGACACCTAGAGTTCTAGGAGAGGAGGAGAGTGAGAGAGGATATTTCAAGTTTTTCAGGCTTCATAGTTTGATTCTTTAAAGAGATATGGCTAGGATATACTGTTTAAAAGGCTTTGATGAGATAGGGGATGTAGTTCAATGAAAAAATGCTTGCCTAGCTTGAGTGTGCCCTAGGTTTGATTCCCTGCACTGCAAAAAAAATAAAAAGTAATAAAATAAAGTTAGAAAAAGGACTGATGCAATGTTTTTTTTTTCCAGAGCTTATCAGTTTTATGATAATAATTATTATTATTTTGTGGTACTGCGGATTGAACCCAGAGGTTCTACCACTGAACTACATCTTGCAGCCCTCCCCTTTGTCACTGGGGATTGGGCCCAAGGGTCTCTCTACCACTGAACTACATCCCTAGCCTTTTTTATTTTTTATCTTGAGATAGGGTCTCACCAAGTTACTGAGGCTGGCCTTGAATTTGTAATCCTTCTGCCTCAGGTATGCACCACCATGTCCAGGTGAGTTTAGAAGTTTTAAATGTACTTAGATAGTTAATAAGTTCTGTTAATTTACAGATATTTAATGTGTTATTCTTTCTCAGAGGTATCACAGACACACTTAAAAAATATTTCTGTGTATGAAACAATTATCTATTATTTATAGAGTTGACAGAGCTTGCATATAGGAACCAACCCCTACATGATCCTATTTTTCCAGATATAGTTAATGTTCCCATCTGTGTATTTGCCTATCACTTTGTGTATTTCTGAATTATACAATTTATCAATTGTATAAATTTATCAATTGTATACAATTTGTCAATGTATCAATTAAAACTTGTGGGCATGTCTCTTCTCCATTCGACAGGGAACTTCTTAAGGATATGGGTCAGTGAATCAGTCATCTATATATCCCCATCATCTAATTTAATGCATGCTTTAAAAATGATTGTTTACCCATTTTTCAATTATTTACCAAATATTTATTGAGTTCCTATTTTGTGTTAGGGACCAAGTCATAGAGCAGTGAACTAGCAAAAAAGACCCCTGTTTTGTGAAACTTACATTTAATCAATCTTTCCTAATACAGGGATTTGAAGCTATTGATTTCCCTCAAAGCCTGATTTAGCTGCCTCTCATACATTTTGATACATTGTATTTTTATTACCTTTCAATGAAACAATTTTCTAATTTCTCCTGTGATTTCTTCTTTGACTTAAGAAGTATTTAACTTACAAATATTTGTTGTCTTATTGTTTAAAATTTTTATTTTAATACCATTGTAGTCAGAAATGTACTTTTTAAATCTGTAAGCTTGTTCGAATCTGTTTTATGGCTCAGATTTGATGTATCCTGGCAAATGTACCATATATACTGTCATAGGTGTGGTTTTCTGTCTGTAGCAAGTAAGTGTTGTTTATATTATTAGATTATTTGTGACTTCACTGATTTTTTTTTTATTATTAGTTGTTCATCAGTCACTGAAAGATGGGGTGTAAAATTTCAGGAAAAATTGTAGAATCATCTATTTTACATTTCAACTCAGTCAAATTTTGCTTCCTGTATTTTGAAGCTCTATATTGGGCACACACATGTTTAGATTGTTGAATCTTCCTGGTTTTTATCCCTTTTTTTCATTGTGAAATGACTGTGTGTCTAATATACACTTTATTAGACACCTAGTTTATTTGACATTAATAGTAGTCCAGCCTTCTTTTGCTTACTGTTTGCATGGTGTATTTTTTCTATTCATTTACTTCCATTCTATCTGTATCTTCATATTGAAGTGCATTTCTTGTTGACAGCCTATAGTTGGGTCTAGCTTTTTAAAAATATCATAAACAGTACCCATATAATTTTTTGTTAGAGAAATTAATCATGGCCATCTATTTCTTGGTATTTGATTAGCATTTTGCAATTGTATATTCCTGCACATCAGATTTGGCATATTTGGACCATTGTTTTTTAGATTTTGTTTTTGCCCTATTCTCTTGCTTTTCCTTGTGTGCCAATTAAGTGTGTGTTGGACTGCTGAGAGTGCCTAGCAGATTCCCACGGCTCTCTTAATTTTTGGTCAGGTTTTTTTCTGTGTCCTTCATCTTCATTGCTTCCGATATGCCTGCTTTCAGGTTTTCTTGATCTTTCCTCTGTGTGTCCTTTCAGTTGTTGTCCATGCAGTGAACTTTTTATTTCAGAAATTGTGTGTATGTTATATATATGTATAAGTTCTGGAATGTATATTTGGTTCTCTTTTTAATTGTTTCTGTTCTGCTGGGATTTCCCATTTCTCTACTGAATTTTTATTCACTGAAAGAACGTTAATTTTCCTTTTTAGAATAGTTATAATATCTATTTAAAATTCCTCATCTGGTAGTTTCAATATTTTGTTCCTCTTGAGATTGGACTCAATTCTATTTTCTCTTCTCTTGAGAATGTGCTCCATTTCTTTATTCTTAGTGTGTTTGGTTATTTTGAATTATGTGCTGGGCATTGTGAATGTTAAGCTACATAGTGTCATCTACATGATATCTTTTTTCTTTGGTGGTGTTTCCTTTGTGTTAATAGGTGCTGTTCTTGTCTGGACTTCAGCTACAGACCCTATTTCTGGGCCAACAGCTCCACTCTAAGTTCTGATGTTTTGCAGTTGGCTGGAGTACTTCTCTGTTCCGTGTGTGCAGTTCACAGATCAGTCAGAGATTTGAGCAGATGGGATTTGGGAACCCTTCTCTTGCTTTTTTCCTTGTAGGATTTCCCCACCTTTTCCAGTAATGTTTCCTGACTTGATTTTTTTTTTTAATTTCTTAGGGCAAAAATATTTCAAAGTTTACCACTTGGACCCTCACCACTGAGTGTACTGCTTAGCCCCAGGGTAAAAGCAATGAGACAGGCTTCTTGTATAGTTTCCTACATTACTTCTTCTAAGTGAATGCAAAGTCTTCAGTGTTGAGTGTGAGCATCCCTCTGGAGATTAAATGTGAGTGCCCACCAGAGTCCAAGTGTGAGCTCCCCACCATAGTCTTAAGTGTGCTGTCCACCAGAGTCTCAGTGTGAGCTCCCCATCAGAATCTATGAGCTCTCATTAGGGTGAATGAGCTTCCCACTAGGGCAAGTGTGAGTGCCCACCAGAGTGTAGGTTTCTGTTCTCTTCCCTGTACCTTCACATAGTTTTTTTTTTTAATGCTACTTCAGGCTTTTGGTTTCTGCATGGGGTGGAGGGTGCTTTCAGGAAGGTCTTTTAGTCTGACATGCCCCAAAGCAGAAATCCCTCCACGATGCTCACATTCTACGTGGAAAGGTAGCAGTGAACATGCCAGCAAGACCATTATAGTTTTTAGAACATGCTGTGCAATAAATAAGGTCAATGAAATAGAAAGTAACAGCTTTAGATAAAGTTTTTGTGAAGGTTCTCCAAAAAGCTCCTATTTGAGTTGAGTCTCAAGCATAAGAATTTGGTCATGCAAAAAGTTGGCTGAGAAACGGCCCAAGCAAAGGCAGTGCAGAAACAAAAATCCCTAGGGGAGGAGAGGCCAGCCCCCTGGAGCAGGGTAGGCGAAGGGGAGGACAGTGGCAGGGAGGCCGGAGAGGCAGAAGGATGCCGGAGCGCCTGGCTGTGGGGCATGGGGCGGTGCGTTGCTGTGTACCAAGTACACTGGGCCACTCGGCACTTTGTTCTTCAAACTCAACTGACATAGCCCTGTGTGGCCTACCGTCAGCATGGCTGAACACAAGCCAGCAGACCAGGCAGAACAGACTTCTGTGCAGGTGACGTGGACAGATGCCTGCATCCCTTCTACTTCCGAATTCTTAATGTCATAGAAAAGACAGTAAGTTGGCCAACCTGCAGAAAAGAACAACAGCAGTTAAAACCACAGTTGAAACTTGAGAGGCACAGACAGAATGAAAGGAGCACAGGAGGAGGGAGAGCTGGAGCACGGGAGGAGGGAGAGCTGGAGGACGGGAGGAGGGAGGGCTGGAGCACGGGAGGAGGGAGGGCTGGAGGACGGGAGGAGGGAGGGCTGGAGCACGGGAGGAGGGAGGGCTGGAGGACTGGAGGAGGGAGGGCTGGAGGACGGGAGGAGGGAGGGCTGGAGCACGGGAGGAGGGAGGGCTGGAGGACTGGAGGAGGGAGGGCTGGAGCATGGGAGGAGGGAGGGCTGGAGCACGGGAGGAGGGAGGGCTGGAGGACGGGAGGAGGGAGAGCTGGAGCACGGGAAGAGGGAGAGCTGGAGGACGGGAGGAGGGAGGGCTGGAGGACGGGAGGAGGGAGGGCTGGAGCACGGGAAGAGGGAGAGCTGGAGCACGGGAGGAGGGAGGGCTGGAGCACGGGAGGAGGGAGGGCTGGAGGACGGGAGGAGGGAGGGCTGGAGCACGGGAGGAGGGAGGGCTGGAGCACGGGAGGAGGGAGGGCTGGAGCACGGGAGGAGGGAGGGCTGGAGGACGGGAGGAGGGAGGGCTGGAGCACGGGAGGAGGGAGGGCTGGAGGACGGGAGGAGGGAGGGCTGGAGCACGGGAGGAGGGAGGGCTGGAGCACGGGAGGAGGGAGGGCTGGAGCACGGGAGGAGGGAGGGCTGGAGGACGGGAGGAGGGAGAGCTGGAGCACGGGAGGAGGGAGGGCTGGAGGACGGGAGGAGGGAGGGCTGGAGCACGGGAGGAGGGAGGGCTGGAGCACGTGGCAATGCTGGGACAGATCTGCCTTCTCTTGCGCTCTTTTCATTCTGTCTGTGTCTCTCAAGTTTCGAGTTTATAAATTACAATTTTCATTTTCAGTTTATAAATTACAATTAACAATGCACAATTTACAGCCTAGTTGGAGCCTTGTGCCAGCCTGTGTTTGGAGATGTGATTGCTCTGAGAGCGTCTAAAACTCTCCCCATCTTCCCTTTGGCTTAGATGACAGCGCGTCTGCCGCGAGTAGCATGGAGGTGTCAGACCGCATCGCCTCCTTGGAGCAGCGGGTCCAGATGCAGGAAGACGACATCCAGCTGCTCAAGTCAGCGCTGGCTGACGTGGTTCGGCGGCTGAACATCACTGAGGAGCAGCAGGCTGTGCTCAACAGGAAAGGACCTACCAAAGGTGGGCATTATTCAGGAACGAGGGCGGCACGGGTCTCATTGAGATTGCTGACAGCAGCAAAACTCAGAATCACAGTACAACAATTTGCCCTGTCAAAACAACCACGCGGAGTGTGGCAGTATTTTTGGCACAATGTTGGTGAATCACACTGCCTAGGGGGTGTGCATTTGTGTGGTCATTCAATGCTCTTTGGGTCGGAGAAGGGACTGTCCACATGCCCTGCTGAGATCCGTGTTCGTCAAGGCAGTGGGGCTAGAGCCTGCAGAGGAACCGCTCCTTGTAGCCCCTCGGACGGCCCCGCAGGGATTGGTTGCTGCCAGCTCCCATCTCTGTCTGTGCCCTCAGCTCGCACAGCACACGCTTCACTGATGTACGCCACCCGGGAGGCCCCCAGCCAGGGCACAGAGGTGGGGCCCCTCCTTGAGGAGCTCTGAGTCCTGATGGTATCACTGACTTCCCTGCCTGGTGGGGCACTCCTCCTGGCCTCCCCTTCTGTCTCGAGTCTTCTCTGCCATGGGGTGGGGCCGGGGGCACCTGTGCAGAGGTCTGTGCCAGTGGATTTCTGGCAAATTTAAGTCACCGTTTCATGTCCTGTGGCTCCTGGGAATGAGGCATTAAAAAGTATTTGTGGTAAGTACTGCTTAAAATTTGGGGAATAAATACCTCGGAAACGTCTCCCAGACTGGGTGGGCCCCGAGGCCTGCACTGGATGGGTGCCATTGCTCTTCTGCCACAACGTGTTCACGGTGGCTGCCGTCATGGCTGAAAGGTTCCTTTGGTAAGAACATGTTGAAATCCCTTGAAAAATGCCTTTCTTTTTTGTTTGGATTCAGCAGATCACTTCACAGTTAATGTGTTTTTCTTGGCGTGGAGATGACTGTCCAGCGTATCTCTTAATTTTTTTCTCAAGTACTTGGCTGCATTTTCACACATCTGGGAAAGGAAATCTCTCTCTTTGTCCTTCAGGGGAGTCCTGACCCACTGTGTGTGAGATACACATGCTTAGCGGATGTCTATATTTTGAATAATTGTTTTAAGTAATCTTTTTTTCCTTCTGAGTTGCAAAGTGATCAGGGTATTTTAAATAGAAACCAGGTTATTTTAGTTATTCTTGACCTACTCAGCTTTCCAAAAATAAATGTGATGACGACTGTATCCCAGAGGGTACATTTGAAGCAGTTGCCTTATGAAGATTCAAATTTCTAAAATTTTATTTTTAGAAAAGTAGGGAAAAAACAATATAAAGGGCTTGCCCAGGAGTTTTATTTTCTTGATTATGAGGAAGCTTGGTGTTTGTAAAACTTCTTCTAAGAGAAATGATTTTTTTTTTCATAGTTACCTGACTTTTTTTTATACCTTGCTCTTCATAAGTGAAAATGAATCTAATCATGAAAGCCAGCAGGTCACTGAGAGATGGAGTCCACAGAAAGTGGACGAGTGGGAGGTCTCCCGGGAGCAGGCGTGGTTTCTGCGCACTGTGCAGCTAAGGAGGGGAAGGCAGGGGAGGACAGGGGAGGGGAGCATATGCATCAGAAGCTGTGGGTGCCCCTCTGTAGAGAGCTGCCCCTTGGCCATGGCGTTGCACCGTGGCCTGACCCTGCACTCTATAGCCACAGTTTGGTGTAGAATTTCCTCTGTGAGATACGTTAGGGTTTTGGGAGGCTGTGTTATTACAGGTCAAGCATGTCTTACCTGAAACACTCGGATCAGAAGTATTTCTAACTTTTTCAGATTTTGAAATAGTTACATATACTTCATGAAATATCTTGGGGATGAATCCTAACAAAATTCATGTATGTTTCTTTTATGTACCAGAAGGTCATCTTGTTAATCAGTTCTCCATTAACTGTACAGATGCCTGAGACAGTCAACTCATAAAAAGGAAAGTTTTATTTTGGCTCACAGTTTTGGTCCATGATTGACTAGTGTCATGGCTCTGGGCCTGTGGCAAGGCAACACATCATGGTGACACTGCATGACGAATCCATGCACCTCATGGCCTCAGAGTGGATAAAAAATGTGCCCTTCCAGGGCACGCCCCCACTTACCAGAAGACCTCCCACTAGGCCCATGTCTTCCAGTAGCCCCAAGCTGGGGAACAGTCCATGAAAACAGGGCCTTTGGGAGCCACTCCGGATCCAGGCGGAGCAGCAGTTTTCTACAGTGATTCTGCATGCCTGTATTTTTACTGCAACCTGTCATGTGTGGAATTTTCTACTGTGGTGTCATGTCAGTGTTCAAAAAGTTTCAGATTTGGGGGGCATTTTGGATTCTTGGATCAGGGATGCTTGACCTCTGTTATTGTTATCATTTTGCAATATTTTGGCTCTTGTTCCTGTTACAGCTTTGAGATAGGCTGGACACAGGCATTCTGAGCTTTAAATATTAAGGGACTCTCCCAACCCCAAGATTAACTGACAGAAACTCTAGGCTCAGTGTTTGGAGCTGCAGGTGTGTATCCTTGTTCTTTGCCTAGGTGACAGCGTGGGCGGTTGCACCACAAAGGAAGAGGCTGCCTTAGAAGCCAGGGAACATTCAGAGTGCTCAGGTGGTTCAGCTGGAAGCCGATGCCTGATGTGGCCGTCTTTGCGGGTGGTGTCCTTGACTGTTAGCCTGCAGTTAATACTTGCTAGCCTCAGTGCTGCCTGGGGGCTCATGGACCATAGGAACAGTTTGTTCCACTCGGCGTGTCCCCATTTTGCTGACCTTGGATTACCATATAGTGGAGAAGAGATAACCCAGTAGTTTGAAGTTTATGGAGGCCTATCTTCTTCTTTTTTAAAAAAATTTTATACACACACATACACACACACATATACACACACACATACATACACATACATATGAGTTGTAGTTGGACACAATACCTTTATTTTATTTACTTATTTTTATGTGGTGCTGAGGATCGAACCCAGTGCCTCGCACATGCCCGGCGAGCGCTCTACTGCTGAGCCACAACACCATCCCCAAGGCCTATCTTCTTAACGTTCCTGCTGGTATTATTGTTTTTCAGAGACGTGACTGGAGTGGGGGTCTCGCTGCTGGCCGAGCACAGTGAGCAGACCCTGTAGATGCTGCTATTGTGATATGGAGAGAGCAGACGCTTGAGGGATGCAGGGATCCCTGCAGAGCTGGGCACAGTGGAGACCCCGAATGGGAAGCAATAGGGCCAGCCAGCAACAGGGCAGGCCCCAAATCGGTTACTTCCATATGGCTAAGTCCTGTTCAGTCTTAGAAAAGGCTGAGAATTGGTAATAAGAGGGAAAGTGCTTGTTTGGTGTTTTAAGTCAAAAGCAGGATATAGAATTGAATACACTGTCACTTCAAGTAGAGATAAAAGTTATGCAGAGAAGACTGGAATGAAGTTGACCAAAAGTTGGTAATGCTTTTTTTCTGAGTGTGGGATTAAATGTTTTACTTTTTATATAATTTTAGTTTGTTTCTAAGTGTTCTGTGGTACCTAGTCCTTAATAAGCAAGAAAAAAATGTTTTAAAGATCACTTCTTTTTTACTGCAGACTGAGGTGGACAGCAGGGCTCTTAGCAACGTCAGGAGGCGGTTTGCTCCCACGTGTTCTCAAGGATCAGGGTGTGGGGTTCACTTCATAAAAGATCCATTGTGTGCAGGCATGGCTGATTTCCATGTTAGTGCTGGAATTTTAAATGTAAAATGTAGATTAAAATTTGCTATTCTTCCATATATCTGGGATTATCTCTTGTTACTCAGGAACCAGCAAGTAGTTCATATTTCTTATTTTAAATTATGCTCATTCGTTCAGACTATAGTTAGGCAGCTTATCTTTTAAAATACTTTAATGTGCCTTTGGAAACTATTTTATTGGCTATATCAGCTAGTGGATCCACTCATTAATAGATTGGAGAATCAAATTAATTAATAGCTTCATTAATTAATAGATCAGATAATTACTAAAGAACCAAAAGGCTTCAGTTGGCACAGTCAGCAAGCGAGTCCTGCCGTTCCAAGACCCTGGAACCCTCCAGCCCCAGACCTTAACCTCGGCCACCCTGGCCACGAAGACCAAGATCTTCTGCCAGCCCCTGTGCTAGCCTAACTTAACACTGAGCTTCAGCACAATTCTCATAACTACTGCTGTTGATTGGACTTTGCAATAGCAATTTTGGACGTGTTGGCGAATTTCACCTCTCCACAATTCCACGTGGCAGGTGTTATTGTGCTCTTTTTATACAAGAAAAAACGGCCTCCAGGAGGCTGGATAATTTGTCCCAGTTGCTCAGCTGGCTGGGGACAACCCTAGGCAGGAACTCCGGGAATTCTTTTTGCCAGGGGGCTGCTTCCTTATGCAGGTGTCTTAGCAATAGAACTCAAAATTAGCATGATTCAAATCAAACCAAATAGTTAAGAAATGAATAGCTGCATGACTTGAAATAAGACTTTTATCCACCAAGATTTAATTTGATTTGCAAAGTATTTCCAATATAATAGACCATATTCAGCACACCCTTCTGTAGAAATATTATGCTGTGGTCTCTCCTCAGGCTTTATTAGGTAGGTACAACTAACAAATTCAATACTTGGAGCTATTTGCCCTCATGGAATCAGTGAATAATTAACTTAGTTCTTTATCCTGGTTAACCAGTTTCAGGGAGCAAATGGCCTTTTCTATCTCTCGTCTATGCACATTCTCCGTATCTTTCTGCTCACAAAATGGTGAATTACCGGGGGAGAATTTCTCTCCTTTAGCTAGAAGACCCTGTTTCTTTCACTTTCTCATTAGTTGCCCTGCCAGGCTTAGTAGGTTTTTTGCACTGTTTATAGAAAACATTGAGTATGTTCTTAACTCTTCAGAGGTCAAAATTGTTCTTAAACTTTGTAACACGAAAATGTTCAAATGTACACAGAAGCGGGACAGCACCTCTGCCCGCCTCCTCAGGGACTCACTCCACTGCTCTCCGTGGTGGGTCACCTAAAAGCAAACCCAAGACCAGTGTCACTTGATTCACAGCACGTCAGTGTGTCTC